TAAAATTCCCTAAAAATTCCCAAAAATTTCACTAAAATTCCCTAAAAATTCGTCCCAAAATTCCCTAAAAATTCCCCTAAAATTCCCTAAAAATTCCCAAAAATTTCCCTAAAATTCCCTAAAAATTCCCAAAAATTCCCCTAAAATTCCCTAAAAATTCCCAAAAATTTCCCTAAAATTCCCTAAAAATTCGCCCCAAAATTCCCCAAAAAATCCCCCTAAAATTCCCTAAAAAGTTCCTGAAATTCCCCAAAAAATCCCCCTAAAATTCCCTAAAAATTCGCCCTAAAATTCCCTAAAAAGTTTCTGAAATTCCCAAAAAAATCTCCATAAAATTCCATAAAAAGTTCCTGAAAGTCACAAAAAAATCTCCATAAAATTCCATAAAAAGTTCCTGAAAGTCACAAAAAAAATCCCACTAAAAATCCCTAAAAATTCACAAAAATTTCCCTAAAATTCCCCCCTAAAAATCCCCTAAAAAATCCCAAAAAATTCCCTAAAAAATCCCAAAAAATCCCCTAAAAAATCCCAAAAAATTCCCAAAAAATCCCCTAAAAATCCCCTAAAAAATCCCAAAAAATCCCTAAAAATCCCCTAAAAAATCCCAAAAAATTCCCAAAAAAATCCCTAAAAAATCCCTAAAAATCCCCCAAAAATCCCTAAAAATCCCCTAAAAAATCCCAAAAAATCCCCTAAAAAATCCCAAAAAAACCCTAAAAATCCCCTAAAAAATCCCAAAAAATTCCCAAAAAAACCCTAAAAATCCCCTAAAAAATCCCCTAAAAAATCCCAAAAAAATCCCAAAAAAATCCCAAAAAATTCCCAAAAAATTCCCAAAAAATCCCAAAAAAATCCCAAAAAAATCCAAAAAAATCCCTAAAAATCCCCCAAAAAATCCCTAAAAATCCCAAAAAAAATCCCAAAAAATTCCCAAAAAATCCCAAAAACTCCCCAAAAATCCCCAAATCTCTGAGGAATCCCCCTCAAGGAGAATTCCCAATTTTATTTCTCTTTCCCAGAGCGTTTTCAACGTGAAACCCGAGGAGAAGGAGGAGACAGAGGAGCAGAAAGAGAAGAAACACAAAAGTTTTGTGGAGAGATATGAAAAGCAAATTAAACATTTCGGTGAGGTTTCTTCATTTGGGAGGTGGGAACAGAATTTTTTGGGATTTTCCAAAATTTCCAAAATTTTCTGCTGAAAAATCGAGGATTTTCCGCTTTTTTTTCCTGGATTTTTGCTCCTCCAAAGGGCAGATTTGGGGGGAATTAAATTGGATTTATGGGGGAATTAAATTGGATTTATGGGGGAATTAAATTGGATTTTAGTGGGAATTAAATCAGGAATTAAATTGAATTTTAGTGGGAATTAAATCAGGAATTAAATTGAATTTTAGGGGGAATTAAATTGAATTTATGGGGGAATTAAATTAAATTTTAGGGGGAATTAAACTGAATTTTAGGGGGAATTAAATTGGATTTTAGGGGGAATTAAATCAGGAATTAAATCGAATTTTAACAGGAATTAAATTGAATTTTAGGGGGAATTAAATTGAATTTTAGGGGGAATTAAATCAGGAATTAAATTGAATTTATGGGGGAATTAAATTGAATTTATGGGGGAATTAAATTGAATTTTAGGGGGAATTAGATCAGGAATTAAATTGAATTTTAAGGGGAATTAAATTGAATTTATGGGGGAATTAAATTGAATTTATGGGGGAATCAAATTGAATTTTAAGGGGAATTAAACTGAATTTTAGGGGGAATTAAATTGGATTTTAGAGGGAATTAAATCAGGAATTAAATTGAATTTTAACAGGAATTAAATTGAATTTTAGGGGGAATTAAATTGGATTTTAGGGGGAATTAAATCAGGAATTAAATTGAATTTATGGGGGAATTAAATTGAATTTATGGGGGAATTAAATTGAATTTTAGGGGGAATTAGATCAGGAATTAAATTGAATTTTAAGGGGAATTAAATTGAATTTATGGGGGAATTAAATTGGATTTTAGTGGGAATTAAATCAGGAATTAAATTGAATTTTAGGGAGAATTAAACTGAATTTTAGGGGGAATTAAATTGAATTTTAACAGGAATTAAATTGAATTTTAGGGGGAATTAAATTGAATTTTAGTGAGAATTAAATTGGATTTTAGGGGGAATTAAATCAGGAATTAAATTGAATTTTAAGGGGAATTAAATCAAGAATTAAATTAAATTTTAGGGAGAATTAAATTAAATTTTAGGAGAAATTAAATCAAGAATTAAATTGAATTTTAGGGAGAATTAAATTAAATTTTAGGAGGAATTAAGTTTGGAATTAAATTGAATTTTAGTGGGAATTAAATCAGGAATTAAATTGAATTTTAGGGGGAATTAAATCAGGAATTAAATTGAATTTTAAGGGGAATTAAATTGAATTTATGGGGGAATTAAATTAAATTTTAGGGGGAATTAAACTGAATTTTAGGGGGAATTAAATTGGATTTTAGGGGGAATTAAATCAGGAATTAAATTGAATTTTAGGGAGAATTAAATTAAATTTTAGGAGGAATTAGATCAGGAATTAAATTGAATTTATGGGAGAATTAAATTGAATTTTAGGGGGAATTAAATCAGGAATTAAATTGAATTTTAGTGGGAATTAGATCAGGAATTAAATTGAATTTATGGGGGAATCAAATTAAATTTTAGGGGGAATTAAATCAGGAATTAAATTAAATTTTAGGAAGAATTAAATCAAGAATTAAATCAAATTTCAACAAGAAATCAACTTAAATTTAAACCAGATTTAACCCAATTTTAACCAAAAATTAAATTTAAACACAAAACTATTCCATCCCACTTTAAAATTTTTCCAGAATGGGAAAAATTTGGTTTTTTTTTGATTTTTTCCAGGGATGTTGAGACGTTGGGACGACAGCCAGAAATTCCTGTCGGACAATCCTCACCTGGTGTGCGAGGAGACCGCCAATTACCTGGTGATCTGGTGCATCGACCTGGAGGTGGAGGAGGTGAGCAAAATCCAGGGAAATTTGGGGAAAATTCCAGATTTTTCAGTTTGGGATTTTTTGGGGGGTTTTTGGGGTTTTTTTGGGATTTTTTGGGATTTTTTTGGGGTTTTTTTTGGGGTTTTTTGGGGGTTTTTTGGGATTTTTTTTGGATTTTTTTGGGGTTTTTTTGGGGGTTTTTTTTGGATTTTTTTGGGATTTTTTTGGGATTTTTTTGATTTTTTTTGGGGGGTTTTTTTTTATTTTTTTTGGATTTTTTTGTGATTTTTTGGGGTTTTTTTTGTGATTTTTTTTGGATTTTTTTGCGATTTTTGGGGGGTTTTTTGGGGTTTTTTTGGGATTTTTTGGGGCTTTTTTTGGATTTTTTTTTATTTTTTGGAGGATTTTTTTAGAGTTTTTTTGGGGTTTTTGGGGATTTTTTTTGGATTTTTTGGGGATTTTTTGTGGTTTTTTTGTGGTTTTTTGGGGTTTTTTTGGGGTTTTTTTTGGTTTTTTTTGGGTTGTTTTGGGGTTTTTTTGGGGGGGTTTTTGGGTTTTTTTGGGGTTTTTTTTGGGGTTTTTTTGGGTTTTTTTGGGGGGCTTTTGGGGTTTTTTTGGGGTTTTTTTGGGATTTTTTTGGATTTTTTTGTGATTTTTTGGGGTTTTTTTTGGATTTTTTTTGGATTTTTTTGTGATTTTTTGGGGGTTTTTTTGGGGTTTTTGGGGGTTTTTTTGGGATTTTTTTTGGGATTTTTTTGGATTTTTTTGTGATTTTTTGGGGTTTTTTTGTGATTTTTTTTGGATTTTTTTGTGATTTTTTGGGTTTTTTTTGGTTTTTTGGGGGTTTTTTGGGGTTTTTGTTGGGGTTTTTGGGGATTTTTTGTGATTTTTTGGGGGGTTTTTTGGGGTGTTTTTTGGGATTTTTTTGGGGTTTTTTTGGGTTTTTTTGGGATTTTTTTGTGATTTTTTGGGGTTTTTTTGGGATTTTTTTGGGGGGTTTTTGGGGGTTTTTTTGGATTTTTTTGGGTTTTTTTGTGTTTTTTTGGGGGTTTTTTGGGGTTTTTTTTGGGATTTTTTTGGGGTTTTTTGGGATTTTTTTGGATTTTTTTGTGATTTTTTGGGGTTTTTTTGGGATTTTTTTGTGATTTTTTGGGGTGTTTTTTGGGATTTTTTTGGGGGTTTTTGGGGGTTTTTTTGGATTTTTTTGGTTTTTTTTGTGTTTTTTTTGGGGTTTTTTGGGTTTTTTTTTGGGATTTTTTTGGGGTTTTTTTGGGGTTTTTTTGGATTTTTGGTGGTTTTTTTGGATTTTTTTGTGTTTTTTTGGGGTTTTTTTGAGGGTTTTTTTTTATTTTTTGGGTTTTTTTTTATTTTTTGGAGTTTTTTAGGGGTTTTTTGGGGTTTTTTTGGGTTTTTTTGGGTTTTTTTTGGGTTGTTTTGGGGTTTTTTTTGGTTTTTTTGGGGGATTTTTTGGGTTTTTTTGGGGTTTTTTTGGGATTTTTTGGGGTTTTTTGGAATTTTTTTTGATTTTTTGGGGGAGTTTTTTTGGGCTTTTTTGGGGGTTTTTTGGGGTTTTTTTAGGGTTTTTGGGGGTTTTTTTTGGGGTTTTTTTAGGGATTTTTTTTGTTTGTTTTTTTAAGGTTTTTTTTGATGTTTTTTGGGGCGTTTTGGGGCGTTTTTGGGGGTTTTAACCCCCTTTTTCCTGCAGAAACACGCGCTGATGGAGCAGGTGGCTCACCAGACCATCGTCATGCAATTCATCCTGGAGCTGGCCAAGAGCCTCAAGGTGGATCCCAGGGCTTGTTTCCGGCAGTTTTTCACCAAAATTAAGGTAAAAAACACCCCAAAATCCTCTTTAAAAACACCCCAAAATCCTTAAAAATAACCTAAATCCATAAAAAGCTTCGAAAACCCCAAATTCCTAAAATAAAACCCCAAAATCCCTGAAAAAAACCCCCAAAATCCCTAAAAAAACCTCCTAAAACCCAAAAAAAACCCCAAATCCCTAAAAAACCCCAAAATCCTTAAAAGAAACCCTAAAATCCCTGAAAAAAAAACCCCAAAATCCCTAAAAAAACCTCCTAAAACCCAAAAAAACCCCAAATCCCTAAAAAACCCCAAAATCCTTAAAAGAAACCCCAAAATCCCTGAAAAAAACCCCAAAATCCCTAAAAAAACCTCCTAAAACCCAAAAAAACCCCCAAAATCCCTGAAAAAAAACCCCAAAATCCCTAAAAAACCCCAAAATCCTTAAAAGAAACCCCAAAATTCCTAAAAAAACCCCAAATTCCTAAAATAAAACCCCAAAATCCCTGAAAAAAAAAACCAAAATCCCAAAAAAATTGGGGATTTTGGGCTGGAATTTGGGGATTTTGGGGTGGAATTGGGGATTTTGGGGTGGAATTTGGGGTTCAGGGCTGGAATTCGGGGATTTTTGGGGTGGAATTGGGGGATTTTGGGGTGGAATTTGAGTTTCAGGGCTGGAATTTGGGGTTCAGTGCTGGAATTTGGGGATTTTTGGGGTGGAATTTGGGGATTTTGGGGTGGAATTTGGGGATTTTTGGGGTGGAATTTGAGTTTCAGGGCTGGAATTTGGGGATTTCAGGGTTGGAATTTTTGATTCAGGGCTGGAATTCGGGGATTTTTGGGGTGGAATTGGGGATTTTGGGGTGGAATTTGGGGATTTTTGGGGTGGAATTTGAGTTTCAGGGCTGGAATTTGGGGCTCAGGGCTGGAATTTTTGATTCAGGGCTGGAATTTGGGGATTTTTGGGGTGGAATTGGGGATTTTGGGGTGGAATTTGGGGCTCAGGGCTGGAATTCGGGGATTTTTGGGGTGGAATTTGGGGTTCAGGGCTGGAATTTGGGGATTTTTGGGGTGGAATTGGGGGATTTTGGGGTGGAATTTGGGATTCAGGGCTGGAATTTGGGGTTCAGGGCTGGAATTTTTGATTCAGGGCTGGAATTTGGGGATTTTTGGGGTGGAATTGGGGATTTTGGGGTGGAATTTGGGGATTTTTGGG